GGCAAGCTCCCCGTGACGTATTCGATATGCCAAACACAGTAACAACAAGTCTCATGTTACTGGGCCCGCTCGAGCAAATCAACGAACAACGGGAGGGCCTTTACCTTTTTACCCTATTCTGAAATACTTTTAAAGAGAAGCATTTAAACTTCTTTCTCCTTGGGTTGCTGAATGGTGGGAACATCTTTATAGTTAGAGTCTAACAAGCTTTGGAATGCTTCGATCATTCTTTGCTAAGAATTTTGTAGTAATAATCATAATTGAGAGATAGTGGACATTGGCTAGTTCCCAGTTTTCAAATATACGAAAACATGAGATTTTATTTCAATTAGTATTAGTTCTTATTCTCAAGATCTTTGACGTTAACTCCACTGTTTCCTACATTCAAAATGCTGCTCAGTCCAAATATACTTAAGCCTATAGAAAGATGCAGAAGGAAATATTTAGAAGAAAAGAAATTACTGCATCAAAAAAAGTTAAAATATCTTGGAATAAATTTATCTCAGGTGGCAAATACACAAAACAGTGTGAGACACTGATGAAAGAAATTGAATAAAACACAAATAAACATTATATGCTCAGAATTAATATTATATGCCTAAAACAATCTACACATTCAACACAATTCCTGTTAAGATCTCAACAGAACTGTTTAAAAAAAAGAAAAAAAATTCTAACATTCATATGAAATCACAAAGAATCCTGCATAGTCAAAACAATATTAACAAAGGGGAAAAAAAGTTGAGGTATCACACTTCTTAACTTCAAAGCATATTACAAAAGCTACAATAATAAAAGCAGCATGGCACTGGCAGAAAAGGAGACTTGAAGATCTAGGTAACAAAGTAAAAAGTACAAACATATACGATCAATTAATATATGACATAGGAGCCAAGAATATGTACTAGGGAATGGACAGTCTTGTCAATAAATGGAACTAGACACCACTTTCAGTCACTTGCAAAGAATGAAAACGGAACCACTATCTTATACCATACACAAAAATTAATTCAAAATGCTTCAACTATTGAAATGCAGGACCTGAAACTATGAAACTCCTAAAAGAAAACAGAGAATAAGCTCCTTGATATCAGTTTTGGCAGGTAGACAGACAGACAGACACACACACACCTGAACCAAAAGCAAAGGGGACAAAAACAAAAATAAACACATAAACATGTGGAACAATATCAAACTAAAAGCTGGTTTTAGTTTTTTTAACCCAATAATTTTCACCTTAAAATTTCATTAAATATGAATATTTATATATTTAATTGCTATTCGTATTGTGCCACAGTGTGGTCCCCCAAGTTAGCTAAAAGTGAAAATTTAACCCAATTTTTTCACTACATAAAACTAAAAGCACATAGGCTCAGGAGCTGGTTCAAAAGGCTGGAGTGTATGCTTTGCATGTGGGAGGCTGGGGATCTCCAGCACCTCATGGTTTATCTAAGAAGCGCAGGGAGCAAGCCCCAAGCACAGAGCTGGGAGGACCGCCCAGTTGATACAAAATGAAACAGACAAAAGTGTCTGCATAGCAATAAAAAGGATAAACAAAATAAAAAGGCAACCTAAGGAATGAGAGAAACTACTTCCAAACCACACATCTGATAAAGGATCACTTTCCAAAATATGTGAAGGGCTCTTATAGCTCAGTGGCTGAAACAAACGGAAAAGTTCAATTTAATTTAAAATGGACAAAAGATTTTGAATAGATGTTTCCCAAAGAAAACATGCTGATGGCCAACTAGTACATGAAAATAAAAATACTTGGCATCATTAACCATCAGGGAAATGCAATTCAAAAGCACAATAAGGTCCATTCCCTCCCACCTATTCGATGGCGAATATCAACAGGACAAGAAATAATAAGTGTTGTTGAAGATGTAGAGATAAGGGAACTATGGTGCTTGTTGGTGTATCCACTGTGGAAAAGAGTACAGGGGTATCTGAGGAAAAAAAAAAACAGGAGGATGAGAAAGATAATACACTGAGTGAGGCACTTTCCTTGTATGCAACTGACCTGGATTCAATCCATAGGACCCCATAAGTTCCCTCAAGCACTACCCAGCTCAGAGACAGAAGTGAGCCCTGAGCAGCAGTGAGTGTGACCCCAAATCAAACCTCAAAACAAAGCTCAAAAACAGAGAGCTAGTTCATTTGGCTGGGCTCATATTTTGCATACAAGATACCTAGGTTTGATCTTCAGTACCCAATGATCCTCTGAGCACCACCAGGCGTGTCTTCCAAGTAAAGCCAGGAGTAAGTCTGGAGCACCACCAGTATGCCCCCCCTAAAAAAATTAAAATGGGAAATACCAGGGGCGCTAGGAGCTGGCTTATGGATGAAAAATGACTGCCTTGCAAACATGAGACCACATGTTTAATCCCTGGGGCTACCCATATGTCCCAAGCTTGGTCTTGGCAGCTCTGCTGACTGTGATTCTTGGCAATAAGCTAGAATGTGCCATCTTTGGCTCATAGCCAAGTGTATGGAAACATTACAACTAAAAAAATTGTACAACCCTAGTGAGCAGTTCAACTGAAAAGAGCACAATGTCCAGGAGTGTGGCTCCCTGCCAACACACGTATGAACACTGCAGCACGCACTTGTGAGGAGGACATCAAGAATGCACTTGAATTCCAAAAATAAAGGCAAGTGATTCCCGGTGCAGATAACAACCAAATGTGCAAGCACCACAACCAGGCAGGTGCAATCACAACAACAAGAAGAGACGAAAAACCACCAGCCCACCCAGCAACTCCACCTGGGAAAACATTATCTGAAAACAAAACAAAGAACCAAAGCACTAACTCAAAAAAGTAGATGCATTCCCATGTTCAATGCAGCATGATCTGTAACAAACAAGATAGGAAGTAACCAAATGTCCACAGATGTATTGATGGAGAAAGAAAATGTGATGTAGAGGGCCAAGAGGCAGTACAGGGGGTAGGAAATTTGTCGCCCATGTAGCTAACTCAGGTTCAATCCCTGGCACAATTTACAGTCCCTGAAAGGGTTATGCCTGAGCACAAAGCCAGCAGTAAATCTTGTGCCCTGAGGCTGCCAGGTATGGTCCAAAACCAAGTAAATAATAACAACAAAAGAAAATGTGATGTAACATCTACAATGGAATATTAGTCAGCCTTAAAAAGAATAAAATCTTGCCATTTTGACAACATAGAATATAAGCACATGAAGCTACATGAAACAAATCAGAGAAAGAGAAATATATCAATGTCACCTCTATGTGGAATCTTAAAAACAAACCAAAATCAAGCTGGGAGATATAGAGAACAGACTAATGCCCAATGGAAAGTGGGCAGAATGGGTAAAAGGGATCCAAACATGCAAACTTCCTTTTATAAAAGAAGTAAATCGGGATAGAGAGATATGTCAGAGGGTAAGGCACATGCTTTGCAAACTGCTCACCCCAGTTCTGACACCTCATCCAATTCCCCAATTCCACCATGGCCGTGAGTGATGCCTGAGCACAGAGAAAGGAGGAATCCACGAGTACCCAGAGTTGTGCTCCAAATCTGCCAAATAAGTAAATAATGGGGATGTAATTTGTAGCATGGCAGCTGTAGCTAATGATATTTGTATATTGTTTCATAAGATAATTCTGACAAGTAAACAATTTTGTGCCATATTTGTGGTGATGGAAGCTACCTAGACTTCTTGTGATCATTTTACAATACAAACAAGACTAAATCATTATAGTCTACACCTAAAACCAGTATAATCTTATATGCCAATTATACCTCAAATCAAAGGAAAGAAATTGTTACCAAAACAAAGTATCAAATCTGGCAGCGTCAAGTGCAATGTTTCACTAAAGGCGAGAAGGCAATTTTTTCCATTCCCCAGATCTTAACAACTATTTGGTTTTCTTGCCAAATTCCACAGATGGTGACAGATCTGGGCACACCCACAACGACTGGGAAAGAAACAAGAGATCAATCGAGATCCCTAATCGGACAATCAGGGACTCAACTAGTCAATTATTGAGGTGCAATGGCATTTTCAAGAGGTTTCTATTCCTCACACACTAAGGGGAGGGCTTTCAGAATTTCCTAAGACCCAGGAGAATCCTGCACACAGATGTCCGCATTTGTAGGTGCCCGTGTGTGTGTGTATGTGTGTGTGTGTCTTTCCTAAACTAGGCCCAGGTTTCTGTCTTGCAGGGTCCAAGGTCGGTTGGGAATTCAGCTCCAACTTAGTGCAAAGGTGAATAAATAAAGGTTTTCGCCAACAGGCGAAGAGTACCAGCGGGGGAAGCAGGCTCACTTCACATAGTGCGGGCGCTCTGGGTCCCATTTTCGGCTGCTTAGGGATCGCCCTCCCTGGGCTATGGGCCAGGCAGGAAGCCCAGAGAATTACGAGTGGCCGCAGGCTGGAGGGGAGGGGCCGGGGGGCTAGGAAAAGTTAGGAAATCCGGGAAAATTCGGCTTTCCTGAGTAGGACGCCAGGTCTGGGGCGCCTTTGAAAAGAAAGGACCAAGTACCTATTGTCACTTTCTTCTTCTCTTTCTTCCCGATCCTCTGGGACTAGAAATTGGCGGGCGGGAGGCTTACATCACTGAAACGCACTGCGAGCCTCGCCGAGCTCTAAGCCACAGCCCAGGAAACCTAGGAATTCACAGCCAACGCCTTCGAGAAAAAAAAAATCCCCCCCAAAACGCCCCGCTTCGGCGAGCAAAGGAAATCCACGTGACTGAAGGGGGGTGGGGAGTGGGGGGAAGGTTCGGGGGGAGGGAAAGTCGACGACCTCCCTCCTCCCCCTCCCACCGTAAGGCCCCCGGGACCCAAGGGGCGGGGCCGGCGGGCTCCTGGGAGCCGGGGGCCGGGGTCGGGGGCTCCTCACCGGGCGGCGCGGGGGAGGAGGCGCTGGCCGACGCCCGGGTGCGGGGCTGCCTGCTCCGCCCAGCTCGGCGCCGCCTCCCGCAGCCCGGGGCGGGGCCGGGGCGGAGCCAGCCGGGCCGGGCCGGGGCGGAGCGGGCGCTCGGTAGAGCGCAGCGCGGGGCTCGGAGGCAACGGTCCGCGCTGGGATCCCGGAGGCTGCGGCTGCAGACGCCTCCAGCTCCCCTGTTTGGGATCGGCCGCCGCAGCGGATCCACCCCCCCAACACACACACACACACACACACACACACACACACACACACTCACACACTCACTCACTCACTGCGCCCGGCCCCGGGTGCGCGGATCCCGGAGGGGAGCGAGTTCCCGCGCGGGCGGCGACCCCCCAGAAGAGCTCCGGTGCCGGAGCCGCCTGGCGTCCTGGTCGTCCGGGGCATGGCTTCGGCGGGCAGCGGCATGGAGGAGGTGCGCGTCTCGGTGCTGACCCCGCTGAAGCTCGTCGGGCTCGTGTGCATCTTCCTGGCGCTGTGTCTCGACCTGGGCGCCGTGCTCAGTCCCGCCTGGGTCACGGCCGATCACCAGTACTACCTATCCCTGTGGGAGTCCTGCCGCAAGCCGGCCAGCTTGGACATCTGGCACTGCGAGTCCACGCTCAGCAGCGGTGAGGGCCCGTCGCGACCCCTGCCCCCCTCCCCCGCACCCCCCCATCCCGTCCTGGTCCCCTGAGTCCCCTACCCTGGCCCGGCCCCCTCTGTCCTGGCCCTTGGCGGGATCCTGGTGATCTCCATGCCTCTCCTCTTCCCAATCCTCCACCCCGAGCCTAGGCGCTGTCCCACGCCTTCTCACCTCCCTCAGTGGCCTTTGCTTGGGCTGTGGAGTAACACGTAAGCTATTTCGGGGAACTGTTACCATTTAAGGGGATAACCATGTGGGTCTGCTAAAAGATGCAACACCTTCCACTCCTTGTTTGAAAAGCAGCCAGCAAGAACGCCCCCAACTCCGGAGAGATGCCGCGGCGCTTTGCCCTGTCTTCACTCGGGCGTCCTCCCCTCTCCCTTCTCTCTCCCGGTGGAATTTGCCCGAGTTAATCTCAGAGTACCCACGTTTCTTTCTTCTCCCTATTCGACTCCACCTTCTCGCGGTCTCTCCAATAAGTTCTGGTTTAGATTCACTTTCCTAAAATGTTTAAGGAATACGGAGATTTGGGAGAGGGACAGAGTTTAATTTCCGTTTTTCTTCTTTTTATTTTTTTCCCCGTGACTCTTTCATTGATGTTGAGCTGCCCTTTGCCGTGCCAAAATACCTCTTCTCCCGACTTTTTTTTTTTTCAAATCCGTGTGTCACTCTGAGATGCTGGAAAGTCCGATTTTATTCAGATTTCCCTGGAATGTTAGAGAAGGTAGTCCCCGGGACTACAAGCCCCACGGAGCTGGGGGTGGGGGGTGGCGCTTTTATTGCTATGCTCTCTTCTAGACCCCTGGTTGCCTTCCACCGCGCCCCAGTTATGCTCATAGCAGCAATGTGGCAACTTCCAGTTTCTTGCTGCAAACGCTGTCCCCGTTATCCCAATTCTTCAGCTTCTGGCGTCGGTGCAGAGAAAGGAATTGCCCGTGATTTTTGCGCGCACACGCGCTCCCCTAAGAAACTCATTAAATTCCTTCGTGACAGTTTCATGTCTTCTCTGGGACTATTTATAAAGCTTTGCTGGAAACGTTTCAAGTTTCAACAAAGTTGAAACGGCACAAAACCCCCACAAAAATCTGAATTACTTTTTCCTTTGGTTTCTTGCCACAGGCGAGATTAATACTTGGTTAAGTTGCTTCCATAAACCTAATTTTCTGCTTACAAAAGACTTGTGCTTTGATTTAACCTCAGAATTCCCATTGAAGGGATTCCTCTTTGTTACTTAATTCACTGTGGAGGCGGCTGGTTGGCAGCGGGAGGTCAACATTTAGGTCTTTTAATTCTTTCAGGGTTGGTTGTTTACAACTAAAGATAAAATAAATCGGGAAAATGCCTTTCTTCTGTAACCCGGGGATCCAAATAAACTTTGGAGAAAATATCCCCCCCTCCATAGAAATGTAAATTTATGTAGGAATGCCAGCTTCTTCTTGTCTCCGTAGCAACGTGAATCTTTTGCCCCTTTCTCTGTCTGCTGAAATAATAGCCCCACGCTAGCATAAAGACTTTTCTGATAGGATCGGGAAACGCACTTTAACTCCCATTTTCTTTTCAGCCCCATATACGGTTCTCTTGGCCAGGAATGTAGTGACGGAGAAGCAGGTCGAGAGTTTGTAGTGTGGTCTGCAGTGTTTGCTAATCTTTGCTTACTTGTCTCTGCATCCTTTTATCCCTGCTCCTCGCCACCCTCAGGGCAGAAAACCAGAAAACCCGGCGGCGTGTGTGTGTGGGGGGGGCGGGGGGGGGGGCGGGGTGTTGGGAGCGGGGAACGGACCCAAGCTTAGTGCAAATATAGCGGTGGTAATAGGATTCTGAAAGGTGAAGCTTAGAGGCGGGTACACTTTCTGTCTGAGGGTTTTTTTTTTTTACCCCTCCCTAGTCCCCTTAGGTTATCCTCTGGCGCCAACCCAAACCCCAACATTTATTTCTCTTCGGGTGCCTGAAATCATCTTGGTTTTCAAAATAGTTTTTGTCAAATGCCCCTTTCCCCGCCCAGAGCAGTTTGTAAGCTCCGGCGGAGCCCGGAGTAGAGTGGGGATTGTGGGAGGCTCTCAGAACTAGTTCTGGACTTTGTTTCAATTGAGGAGTAGCAATTCCTTTCCCTCCTTCTCTCCCAGGTGGAGGGGTGTTTTATTTTGGCGGGGGGTGCGGGAGGATGTTTCGTCTCCCCACTTTGCAAAATGTGCTTTCGGCAAACGTGCCTGGGACTTAAAGCCGCGATTCGCCCTGCCCCCCGCCCCCCTTCCAGTGTTTGGAAATGAAGGGGGGGGGGGGGAGGAGGACGCTTGAATTGAAACCAGCAATGCCTTTTCTTGCCTGTTTCAAAGGGCTGGCAGCCATTCTCAGTCTATTTGCTTTGTGGAGTAGCAGAAAGCAGGGAGGGAAATGTCTACTCTGAAGATCTGAAAAGGAAAAGATCCACTTCATTGTCTCTTGAAATGAATTAACTCGGGAGAAACCACCAAGGACAGTTTTACTGAAGGCCCTTCACCAGGACCTTCAGGGCTTAATTAAAAACCGTTTTCTTAATTAGAATTAAAAGTGCCGTGAAGAGGCAAGCTTGTATGTGCAGAGGGAAATTTCAGGAATGTTTCTGTTGACAATATGTCCTACTTAGGCCCAGTTCCTACTGGAACTTTCCCCTCAGCCAGGATTTTTAAAGTAGCTCTTTCTCTGTGGTCCCAAGGATGCATCGTTTGCTGCTTATAACCTGTTTTATGGGTTCTCACTGAAAGCAGAACCATGCCTTTTGTGTCCTGGTGTATTGAAGGTTGTATCAGCACTTCAGGAACCAGTGACTGAGTCAACCAAAATGCTTTGCTCCTGAGTTCCAATTCAGTGCATGGGCAACACAGTCCAGGCATTCATCCTGAGCAATAACTTCCAAAAAGACAAAGGAGAACCGGCTAATTGGCTGTCACTCTCAGTGGAAAGGGGGGGGGGAGACATTTAGTAAAGTGTGCTTGTTAAGAAGTTTAGAATACTCACACCCATTGCCTGTTGGCCAGAGAATATCTTTCTAAGGAGTTTTCTTCAGAACAGATTTTGGCAGTCTTTTAAATTAGTCATAAACCTTATAAATGATAGTGATAGTCTTTCGCTTAGTCACATTCAGTTCGCATAACTTTTTTGAGAATATAGTTGTCTGGGTTTCACAGCCAAAGCAATTACAGGCGATTCCATATGCAGATCAGGTTACAAGTGTCCATAGATTGCTGAGAGGCCAAATTTGGCATCGCCTGGGCTGTGGGGTGATTTCCCATTTCTTCTGTAAAATGTATACATATGCAGTTATTTTATATAAAGCATATTTCTTTTTTCATGTGTATGATTTATTGACTAAGCAAAAAAGCAAGGATGTGCAGATGGTCAAATGAACACATTTCAGAGAGTGATTGCAATGAGGATATATAAACAGCCCATTTACCCGTCGTTCCAGTCATAGAATTTATCCTTCTTTTCTATCCACAAATCACTCTATCAGATGCTTAGTGCTTTTTTCAAGGAATATTGTTAACATCATTTTTGCACTACCCTAAAAATAACTGCATTTGTAACATGATTCCCTGGCATTTTTGAAGTGGTACTGCACTGTAGGCTAATTCTAGGTGAAAGATATTATTTTCAGTTGACAAGAGGTTCTTTAAAGAGTGCCTTATATGTAATGTGTAACTTCCTTTAAACTGTAATATAAAACTACACTTTAAAAGGTGTTACAAAAAACCTGTTTTGGGTGGTACTTGAAGATAAACTGAACTATGGAACATTGACAACTCATAAATATTGTGAGAGTAATTCTGCCTTTAAAAGTGTATCATTGATACATGCTTTGAATCTAGATCTTAATTGGGAAATGGGGTGTCATTGCTTTGGGGAAGATTTCAGTTTGTTGCTTGAAATGAATTGTTATTGATGGGTGTTTACAAAAAGCTCAGTAAGCCTGAAAGTCTCTATAGTTATACCTTTTTCTATCTTCTTGCAAAAGAGCACAAGGAGAACAAATGCAGTTTTTCTTCTACCTATACAGCATAGATATTTGGAATGTGAACAAAGAATAACATTTAGCGCTAAAACTTCCTTAATTAACCATCAGAGAAAACCAAGTGTAACTTGTTTCAGGATCTTTGTGCTCATTTTCTTTTAACAACTCCTAAGTTTTTCCGGCTTCCCTATATTGATTTTTACAAAGGGCATTTTCATTTCTGTGCAAATATATTTCCCCTTTTCCTCACAATTATAAAAGATTTTTAGTTGCTGAGGGACCTTGTAGATCAAGTTTTGAGGTTTTTTTTTGGGGGGGTGAGTTGTGGAACTTGATGAAAGTGTGAAAATCTTTCATAAAATGATTTTAAGAAATAAAAAGCAAAAGTATATCTTGGGCAATAAATTTGCCTGCTTTCAGGAATACATCTTGGGAGTTTCCCTTAAGTTTCTGTTTAATAGTGACACCACCTTGAGAGACCATAGAAACATCTAGTGCTATTGTATATATTTAAGAAAAAGATGTCTTAGCTTCAAAACAAATCCCTGGAATATATCACTTATATGAGTAAGCTACCACAGACTTATTTATGAACTATGGTAAATTATAATAAAATCCTTCCTGGAGGGAGGGCAAGGTAGTGATGTGAACACTTTTGAGGCTTTGGATTCTCCCTGGATTTGACCATTTACCAATAATGTGACTTCATACAACACATATCTCTGAATAATTTTTCATAATCACTAAGAATATGGAAATACCTGTTTATTAACAGTGTATTTCTTCTTTTGCTATGCATTCAGAAGACAAATCCAAAGTGACGTTTTCCAGTAATTGAGACTTTCCCCCCTTAGGTATCACACTTTTGCTTTTTGTTGAATAATGAAGTATTAGGTTATAGCTTGCAAATTTAAATTTTTAGATGCATTACCTAGCATTTAGCAATGCTTTCGATAGATTGTACAAAACTATTAATTAACACTTGTTTAGTACTATTA